CCTCTCTGTGGACACTCCAGATCACGTGTCTACGGGGTCAACCAGAGTACCATGGCCCAGGGCAACCCTGTCCCTGGGCTGACACACTCCTACTCCCCCTTGTGGGAGCCCGGACTGCGTGCTATGCGTGGTGTCCGTGCTCACCCAGCACTCACCAAGCCCCGCTAGGGCTGGTACTACACCCGCCCACGGGGTGTACGTGATGACGGTGCATCGCATGCCGTGGCCCTCTCAGGCCGGCACCATAGTGACATCCCTGATGCCATATTCTTAGCTCTTTCGGTAAAGTCACGTTGAAGGGAAACAATAAAATAATAAAATATATATAAAACAATAAAAATTCTCACGACGTTTCGACCATAACACAAACGGTCGTCATCAGGTGTGTCGGTTTGCATCTGATGACGACCGTTTGTGTTATGGTCGAAACGTCGTGAGAATTTTTATTGGTTTATATATATTTTATTGTTTCCCTTCAACGTGACTTTACCGAAAGAGCTAAGAATATGAATTACTGCAGTCACGAAAGCTTTAAATCAAAATGTATCCCTGATGTCACTAAAAATACAAAAACACTACCATTCTGGCTCCCTTAAAATACAATTGTTGTGTGTCTAGACAACGCTGATTCGAAGGTGTAATCTTTATTTACTTAAATATCTTAATAATTATTATTTCCACTTAAAGCTTTCGTGACTGCAGGAATTTATACTCTTTGGGTCTTTCCGTGAAGTCACGTAGATAGTTATTTCCGACTCTCTGAGTTAAATTACCTTGTTAAATGTATTTACATTAACAGGCTAAATGTCTCACCAACATAGCTGCTGCTCCCTTTTCCTCGGCGGTGGCGCTCGTTGTTTAATAGGCTGAATGTGTCTCTAACACAGCCGCTACTGCAGGAGCCGTCTCACATTGACATGCTCATCTCTAATCTCGAGCAATACAATGGCGTTCTTCAGCACCGTAACCGTGGGGTTAAATTAACAGATTGACATTGCTAATCTCTAGCAATACAATAGCCGAGGTATACCTAGCTCTGCGATCTTACATTGACTTGCAAATTCCACCTCTAGCCCCGCCCATTTACCCTTGGGTTGTACCCATCTCAAACCTTTATAACCTTTGGCTGCAGTAACTCTCTCGCTGTATTTCTTCCTGCCTCAGCAGTCCGCCTGCTGTATTTTTTTCACCTGAAGACGATTGCTTGTGTCGCGATCGAAACGTCGTGATTTTAAAAAGTATTTTTATTATTTAATTATTTTCATATCTACGTGACTTTACCGAAAGACACGAAGAGTAATTATTATTTCATTTTATTTTCTCTGGAGCACGCTTTCTGTTGATCGTGGCACCGTTTTCGCATTTGTACGTTAAAACGCAACGGATCATATTGACATTCTTTTCAAACGGAGAGTTACAAACATTGCACGCGGAGAGGTCTTGGTCCTCGATGATATGCCGCAAAATAATGACGTGCATGATGGAATAGGGCGAGGCGAGAATGCAACGTGTTTTTAATTTGCTTAGAAACATCATTGGTCATTCAATTGACGAGAATAATGAAGATTTCCCAGGCCCTGAGTCTCATTGTCGGATTCGATATTAGGTGTTTACATTTACATTTAAAAACGCAAGAGCGGAAGAAAGACACCGTAAAATTACACGTAAAAATTGAATAGCACTTGCAATAGACTGTACACTTGGGAAATGTAACGTTTGCTGGACAATAACGTATGAAATTAAAACACAAGTCAGACTCTCGTAAATTCAGTTTCATTGCAAGCTCGCTTAATGTAAATACCCGTACCAGGCAGGCAGTATTCTTATCCTTATTTCATTATTATTATCGGTCATGACCTATCAGTCTACGACACATCATCCTCACACCATGACAAACACAGGTGCTACCCTCTTCAAGGGGATTTATCCTTGCGACTTAAGTCCAGAATTAGTTTTTTTATGCACATATTGCAGTGATGATGTGTAGCCTCCAGTGGCTGCAGACGTCATATGAACCCTTTGGGGCCGTCCATAAATGACGTCACGCGCCTAGGTTGCGGAGGTCAGAAATTTGTGACAATGTGTGACGAGAGAGAGGGGGGGGGGAGGGTGTTTGAGAAATGTGACGTCACATCAAAATGCGCAACTTTAAATAAATGTAGACAACAGGTGCTACTTAATTAAATAGACTTTTTAATAAATGTTTTCTCCTACAACATCAGAGTGCGGCGCCACATTAAATACGCACTACAATGACAATAGTTTAAAGCGATTTGAAGCATGCTTTTTTTTGGGGGGGGGGCAGAGCTTTGTGACGTCATATTTGAGGGGGGGTCTGAATTTTGTGACGCCGTGTGACGAAGGGGGGGGGGTTAAAAAATCGTCCAAAATCACGTGACGTCATTTATGGACGGCCCCTTTACAACAACAACCGCCATTCGCCACTAAGTTGCGGTGACGTCACGGCACTTGTGCCAGGCTATGTGCACGTTAAGAGCACGTGAAGTGGCTGGTCACGGGACAGACCCAGGTGCCATGGGTGGACTGACTGAGATGACTGTCCGATGCATCACCTGTGCCCCCTATTGTGCCTACTTACTATGTTTTAGCCACCCGGCGCTCCGCTCGATGTTGTAAGCGTCGCTCCTCTGTCCTCTGTTGTTGCTGGAGGGCTATCGCCTCCAACTGCCCAGTAGCAGCGTCCTTCACGAGCATTCTCTATGAACCTTTTACATACCACATCGTACATACAAATACAAAATAATAGATTATTTCACATGCAATTCAACGGGAATATTGTCAGCTGATATTAAGTTGAATTAATTGATGCATCATATCCCTACTGTTAAGGTGCTCATTGACTTTGACTTGGAGATACAACCTGATGTCTCATTTTGGTAAAGAAAGTTTGCCGATTGTTTTTGCTACAAGGAGAGAACCCATTTCTCTCCAAGGAAAAAGAAGAGAGCTGTTATTTAAATACTCTTCTCATAATCCTCTGCTCTTCGCAGCACTAAAGGTAATATGCTTTTTTAACGTAATAATCGAATGCAAATGTCATATGTATCGTGATGGGGTTGTTGTTTTTTATACATAATCAGGATACTCTGGGATTCAAATAATATTCTGGCGAAAGAATAACACGAGTTGGAGTACAATTGCAAAGACAGAGCAATTTTAAACAGATCGTTCCTCCAACCTCTTTGGCGTCGCTAATTTTTTTTTATGAAACGTCTTCCAAACCTTTCCCCGCTATTTCAACCCAATTCAATGTTCATTTGTAACACCGGAAAATCCCACCCAGCCAATCACCCGCATAGCTTCTGTGCGAGATGCCCGCACCCACTGACGACTGAGTTACTGCTGGGTTCAGAGGTGCCCGGCCAGCAGCCAGCCAGGACACTCGATGCATAGATATATATTTTTTTTAATACAGTGCAGTCGAATAATTTTTTTTGTATTCAAGTATTTTTCAGGATGAGTTTGCTCAGGTTTCACGGTAGGAGGCGACAACACACGCTACGTGCTTTCTTCTATGGCCTCAATTTCGAATAACGTCGCGTGGTTATTTATGTTTTAAACCCATCGACTGTAAAGGAGACAGCGCGTGAAATTATTTCATACGTTGAATACGCCACAGCATTGACCAGGGCGGCAGTGGGGCTCGAACCGCTAACCGTCGCAACAAGCGGGCAAGGAACCGCGGTGCTGTAGCGCTCGGCCACGCGCTCCGTGCGTACATCTCCCGGCTTCGCCTTGCAACGCAACAAGGCAAGCACTGTAGTGGCTCGGGGTTCTGCTCGGGCCAACGACTTCCATCCAAACGTTTCCGCCCGAAGCCACCAGAGTTCCCAATCCCGCAGGCCGCAGTCTGGATACCGTGCCGGAGCAATGTCTCGCGTGCACGGGGAATGGTGGCGACACTTTGCCGACGACGAAACGCAAACGGGTGAACAGGATGCAACAAATGCCAAGTTTGCTAGCACTATTGACTTGGAGGCGTGAACTGCGATCTGTGTGGATTGTGGCCTCAATAAAATGGTGGGGGAGGGGTGAGGGGGCACAGGCCAGTGGTGCTGATTTGGGGGTGGTTGGGGGCTGACATTCCACAAAAGGCTGAGAACCACTGCCCCCCAGTTACCCGTCGGCCACAAGAGGCATCGGCTTAACGTTCCTAGATTTAACATTTTTTGCTGCTTCACCTTAATTTTCGCCTGTTATTGCTCAATAAACACGAAGTATTTCCATCTTCGGCAAAAGCTCTCCGGTTATTTTTTGTTTCTCAGAAGCCAAAACTCTTCTGAGGACGAATCAGCAGCAAGAGAGTCAAGTGCACAAACCGAGATTACATATCGGATTTTAAACCCTCTTTTTTTCTCGTCCTTGATTATTTGTTTCAAACCCCCATGCACGCTCACTTCCCCTTTGATGTAGAACCTGCTGCTTATCAATATTTATTCCATTAAAATCAATTTCCATACATACTTTTTTTTACTACATAACACAATCTTGACCAAGGCCTGGAAATAAATAATCAAAATTGCCATTAAGTTGCAGGTGTAAATCGCATTAAAATAACCACATTCAATCTACCGAGATAGAATTGTACAGTAATGTTAAATCCGTATCTTTCAACAATAATAACTGTTTTATTTGCCAATATCACATCACACTGCTCATAAAAATATAGTATTAATAGAAAGTCAGCCTATCATCATTCTGGGGTCAATAAAATAGGTACAATTTTGTAGAAAGCCAATAAATAGTCATTCTATAAAGAGACTGTTAAACAAATGGCAATGTGGAATTTTCACCACCGGTTCAGCATTGGTGATGGTACTGAGTGACAGTGAAATGCTGATACAAGTGTAGTGCCTTGGATTCACTCGGACGACAATCGCCTTTCAGGAAACACTTTTTTTAAAAACGAAACCTAAATTTTGTTTTAATCCACGGTTAATTCCTCGGATGTGCCCGTGTTTTTTGCGTGCTTGTAACAGGGCCACACGGGCTCAGCAAGACGCCGCAGACAACAACGTCGGAGGCAAAGAATTTTGGAACAACTTTGGCCGCAAGCCGCGGGCGCGGGAAAGGAGCGGCAATCAGTGCAGCCCAACGGAGGGAGACCCTCCCCAATGGCCCCCGGAGGCCGACGAAGACGGAGGCAACGACTGGGAGCAGCAGACGACGCAGACGCAGAGGTCGTGGGGAAAGCGGCGTGAGGCCGAGGGAAAATTCCTGCGCTCGAGCAGCTGGGACATCCTGGACTCGGATTTCGGCGAACGAGAGGGCGGCAAGAAAGGCGGCACGGGCCGAGACACGCACCCGCCGCGCATCAAAGGCGGTGGCGGTGGCGGGAGCCGAGGGCAGCGGCAGGGCCTGGTGGACAGCAAAGAGGGCAAAGCGGCAGAGGCGGAGGACGAGGAGGGCTGGGGCGAGTGGGGATGGAGGCCCATAAAGTGACCCGCGGTGGCGTTGATCGCGAGTGCCCGCGCGGGGACGCTTGGCGTTCCCCGCCGGTGCGCTCACCGCAGCGCGCCGGCGCTCGGCTGTGCTGCAGGACGGCAGAGGCCCCGTGGCGATGGCAACTGTACACTCAAGAGTTTGCTGCAGAGAGAAAAGTGTTCTTGCAGGAAAACAGAAAAAAGATTGGACATGTTGTCTTTTGATTTTTCAATAGGTGAATGGAAAGATAGTTTTAATTTTGGAGAAAAAAAACGACGTTTTGGAAAATATGCTTTAATTCTTTTCTAAAAAGCTTTGATAATACATTTTGGGATTCTGTCTTACAGTTGTATTAGAATGCCGTTTACGTTTGTGATTGGTAGCCTGAATGGTTAAGTACATTGCTGAAACAACACTGACAACTTTAATTGGTTAAATTTCAAAGAAAACGATTGAACCCTTTCTGAAAACACCAATGCGGGTCCTGCCCATTCATCCTGTCCCTGATTTCCATAGCCACATTTCCTTTATATGCTTGAGGCGTTATTGTCTGGAATTTATTTTGTCAGTTTTCAATAATTTTCTCCAGAATTTTAATGTGACCTTTACATTTTTTTGTATCCGAGGCATTTTGTAACTTGCCTTCGACAAGAACACCAGTTCACTCTCTTTGTTATTCCTAGTATCCCTTTGGATTTTCAGCTGGTTTTCTCATTTTGCCCGTTTCGTATTGCATTCATATACAACAGACGAAAATGCAACAACTTTTTAAACAGAAATTGTATCCATATAGTGCTCTATTACACACTGAAAATATGTAATCCCCATACACAGTATCCATGCTATTTTTTTCTCAGAGGTAAGTGAGCAGAGAGTGCGACATTTCTACCAATGGTGAACTCTTCTCACCGACATAAACACGAGACTCATTATATCTGACATCGTTTTAAACAAATCCCCTGCCAGCCATACGTTCTGGAGAGACGGGAAACTGTAGCATTCAAACTCGGGGCGTTTGACCTTTAGGACAGATCCCCGAGTTTCTATGATGCAAAGGGCAGATTATCGAGAGGGATGTATGTACGTTGAACTTCTTTCGCACCGTACGTAGCTAACCGTGATAATCGGAAGGATGACTGCACCCAAAACGATTCTAAAGCAAGAACTATTCAAATGAAGGATCGTCAAATTTGGGAATAGTCAACCCTGCCCTTGCTTATAAGATTGGTCTTTCATTATTCACTGGTGAACAGCTAATTTTATATGTAGGCGCTCACAACCAATATCATGATTCGTAATTAATTTATTTGGGTTAGATTAATGCTAAGTGATATCGGTGTTTCAGCAAACTGCGATGTTGAAGAGCAAGCAAAAGTAATATTGGCAATTGTATAAAACCGCATGCTATTTAGCTTTGCTTTTCATCATCCCAGTTCGCAAAAGAAAGACAAATACTGAAAGTTCGCCGAGGTGACAGCTTGATTTGATTGTCTCTGCCCAGCGGTGACAGGTTTTAGTTTAAAAACGAAAATGTACGTGATCTAATCTTAACGATTCACTGGTGATTCGCTAAGGGAGACATCCCTGAAGGTATCCCTTCGGCACATATTGCAGACCTTCCCCGTATTGTTTCACCTTCCCAATTACCCTGTGGTTGCCAAGAGTAAGACATGACGCACACTGCTTTGCCTTTTGCGGTGTACTCGATGTGATCGGTAGCAGAGGAGTCCTGAGCTCATGTGAAGCTATCAGCCTCACTGGCCCGCCACATTAATCCGCAGTTTGAAGGGTCGAATTAAAATCACTTTTGTCCCCTGCTATATTTTCACTCTCTAGGTGAATGCAATTAATTTCAATTATAATGGCAGCTTTTGAAAGGACGATTAACAAACCCAAGCCTGGCACGGATGAGTCATCTCTATGACACTACATCTCAGCTGCCTATCCTGCAATACACTCTAAAGTCTGCGTGAAGGATGTTGCTGTAACGCTCGTGACGGCCTGTTCATTCGTGTCAAATCCATAATGCTGGTGATTTTTCTCATGTTATGTAAAACAAAGTGCCAAATTATAGGGTATTAATTTTCGTTCTCCAAAAATCTATTTTTAGAGGTTGCGATGAATTTGCGTGATTGCTGTTTTCTGAATGCTTTAAAAATTTATTATTTTAAAACGTCGTGCCAAAAAGAACCCAGCTCAAAGCATGTCTTTAAACTTCATGCTAAATCAGTGATGTCCTAGTAAAAACATAGCTTTAATGCCACTGCTCAGTCCAATCAGTATTATCCTACTAATTTTCTGTTAAGTTAGACACTGGGCTAGTTTGGAAATCTCAGCACTTTAGAAAGCACTGCAAAAAAATATGCTGTTGGGCGCAACTATTGTGCAGCTGTGCTATCTGACGGACTCTTCGTTACGAGAGAAATGTGCAAGCGTTGTATTTTGCTTCATTGTAACTGCTGCTTAACTCTTCTCCATTCTGTATATTGTAGCTCGAAGAAAGATTCTATGAAAAAAAATTGCATTTTCCAGAAGATGTATTTTTAATGATTGTGTATTAAATAATTTCAGAAATGACATTTCATAGACGTTGACAAATGCGCCACGCATTACTGAAGTTTCCCTCTTTCATTTGGACTCTTTCATGTTGCTTGCCAATTATTTGGGCTTATTATCTGAATGATAGAATTGTTTAAAATATCATTTGGTGTTTCTGACAAATTTATTGCAATTACGCTCTCGGCATCGCGACGGATCCATTAAAAAGAATTATTGTGTGGGAGAGAACAGCAGCGGAAGAGGCAGGTGTTTCACAAGACTCCCCCCCCCCCCTGCCAAAAAGCATCTTTCAAATAACCTTTTTGTCCTTTACACAGCAGGGGTCGTTCTTTCCCACACACTCTGCTGTGAGGTTGTTCGTCACGTGACAGACCGAACTGTTATTATTTCATTGTATATTCTCACAGCTGGAATTGATACAAATTTAGTGCCAAACCAAATATGAACGTGATGGGGGTTGTGTTTGTGGAGTCGTTTGTGACTGAGCTGAAACCATCGGCCTGCCACATGTGAGAAACCCAGATTATTTTTGCAGGTGGCTGAAACTTGAATTCGAACCCAGGATTTGGAATTCAAACAGTGGATTCGAACCCAGGATCTGGATTCGAACCCGAGATGTCGGTGGTGCTGGGTCGGCGTTTTGATCTCTTGAGTCACCTGGTCACCTCTTGAATGGTAGAATTTAATTCTGCAAATATTTCCAATAAACTTTAGCGCCTTCTTGGTCAATATTTCGCAGCTTCACAGGTTAATAACGTATTTATTTATCAGTCGAGTATCTTGGTAAATTGAGCAGCATTTTCAATTATTCAGGGAAATTAATTTATAGATACCCCATAGATTTCTAATTACCCTCTTCTCAACAGGCGATCGTTTAAAGTGAAATCGATGGCTCCATATGCTACGGAGGAACAGAGACTCAGCATATTGAGTTTGGCGGTAGACAGAATGTTGTTTTGTCTGGTGGTGATCTGCCAGATTATTGTGCACTTTCTCTGTTTACGTTTCAAGTGTTTTGATGTGTTTAACCAGGATAAGAACTCAAGAGACCAGAATAGTCTCATTTTGCGAGAGAGACCTGGGGCATCTATAGAGCGTGATGACTGCTATGTATAATACCAATTGAATAATTTTTCAAATACATTCCAAATTTGAACCCAAACGCCGACAACAAGTGGCCTAACGCTTGCGAATGACGTTTAACATCAGCTGTGAAGCATATGACGTGTGTTATTATTTCGGTTATTACACACAACGCAGTATTAACCAGGGCAACTGCTGGATTCGAATCGGAGACCTCTGGAACAAGCAACGAACACGCTACGGCTGGGCCATGTCACGGCTCCAGATCTAGATTGAAAACTTAGTTCTTTAGAACTGATTTTTGTGTTTAGTTTGTTGTCCTTCCCCCGCACCTCCGATTAGCACGCTTGGCTATGTACGGTGCGAAAGAAGTTCAGCATGCATACAAGAGAACAATATTGTTGCAATGTTATCTCTCTCTCCTTGGAGATTGAGATTAAGTGAAGCGAAGCAGAATTAAGTCCTTGTCTTTTTTTTTCGACAATTCAACAACTGGTCTGGGATGATCAGACTCAATGAACGTGTGGTTGTGTTTCATGCTGAGAGGTAAGACGGGTGCCGACTGTACGAGTCCTATCCCCAATCCATCCGGATCACCTTGCATCTCAGGTTATTGAGATAGTCTCTGTGTGTGTCCCATGGTACGTTTAAATCGGAGCCATTGATTTTGATGATATGCCAGCAGATATGGCCTTGTGGGCAACATAAGACAGAGCAGCAACATTCATTGTTGCGTTGTACTGTACCTCTATGCCACCACTTCTATACTTCCTGCCTTAAAGCAACCTGCGGTGACCGGCCTGGCTAGTGGAGGCTTTTATTCAGTAGTGGATTAACTAAAGGGCTGTACATCTACGCGTACACATGGACACATTACTAAACATTTACAAAACATTTTTGTATAACGCGTTGGCTTTGACAGCGATGTCATTTGCGTGATATTCTTAACTTTCACATACACCAGCCCACATGTTCACACGAATCCAACATATGCACCACGCATGGCTGTTGGTAAATTGCAGGCTTAAACCTATTAACCACTCCCCGAAGTGTCGCGGATTCAGGGTTGTGATCTGACTCGACTGATTCTTTGTCTCCCCCAACGCGGTGGTGGTTGCTCTTGCGCCTGCAGTGGCTGCAGGGAATGACGTGATCCCATTAGAATGGTCCTTACATACGAGCTTAAGAAGTGAGAGATACTGTATTGAGTACAGAATTTCCTCGCTTTATGCTCATTCGGTTTCTGTGATTTGGTGTTTGTGCAGCTAACCTATATCCAGTGGCGTCACTAGGGTTAGTGTCACCCAGTGCGGTAACTCAATGGTGTCACCCCCCCCTCCCCCCATGGACCTCCTCCAGTACCAGACCATACAGAATCTGGTACTAATGTTACTCGTTAATCGTAATTCCCGTATATCACTGAATGTAATGGCAATAGTTGTCATATAAACAATTAGCAAAATTAAAAGTGCACCTTTAAATTACAATATCATACGCACAGCCTAAATGTATTTACATTTACATAGTTTCATGTGGTTAAAGTGAAAATTCGGTAAGAAAACAATGTAATTCAAAGTAAAAACGTTTAAGAACTACATCAAAATTGTGTTAATTTTAACATTAAACTTTACCGTTACATGAGATACATTAATAGATTAGGTTTACATAATCAATAACGGCCCATATAATGTAGAAGTTGTAGGCATATGCACATGTAAATATACTCATAAATGAAATAGTACCAAAAAATAAACATGAACAAATACACGAGCATTTCAGCACTTAGTGAATATCTCGACTAAATCAGAACTTTCCTTTCCTGGCCTTCAATGCTGCAAACTTGTGAATCACTTCATCGAAATCAATGCCTCTCGCCAACTCACTTTCAATTGACAATATCGCAAGATCGGAAAGCCGTGATGACTGTCCCATGGTAGATCGCAAATAGCTATTTCTAAGTTTCAGCTTTGAAAAGCTCCTCTCACATGAAGCCACAGACACACAGATCGACAGAAATAATTTTAGGCTGAGTGAAAGGGTTGGGAGAGATTCTACGAAGTCCCATTCAGGTATGAATGTCAAAACGTCTAATGTTGCCCAATCTTTGGCTTCTTCCAGATCAATTTCTGCTGCTTTCAGGTGCCTTCTCAGCCTGGGCATTTCATTTAAAAGCTCACTCTCGGATACCTCATCATCAAAAGTGGTCAATTTTGGAATGGACACCTTTAACTCTTCTTCAGTGGCAGATATGAGGACTCTTCGCTTGAACAGCCTCAAACATGGCTGCTGCTTGCTTGATGGCTCTTGATCTGAGCTGGAGTTCAGAATGAAAGCGATCAGTGCACTCAAGCAACGCCCTCTCGTTTTCTTCTTGCAGAGTGAGTCCAGCATCGCTTGCCTGCTCGCCTGCCATCCTCTTATTGAACCTGGCTCTTCTCTCTACTGCAATTCCACATTCGTCTGATTTTAAAAGCGCCCTTGTTCAACTGCACGCTCCACCAGGTGACTGCGCTCCTCGTGCAGAAAAAAGTCTTAGCGCCTCGAACTTTGTCGCCACCTTTGTCGAGCGTTAAGCCCTCAGTCTGCAGGCACTGCTGTGTAAGATCAACTTCCTCAAGTACATCACACCGGAAGTACAGGTAGCACAGAAAAGTGACATCACGGACAGCAGGTTAAAAGACCTTGTGCTCCTCCTCTTGCGTCCAAATTTTCACATGGATCACAAAGAGCTTCAATCGCCGCAAACAAACGTATCGAACTTTTCTTTGACTGGCTTAACTGCAGCATGATGAGCACTCCAGCGTGTTGTTGAGAGTCTTTTCACTGACGCTCCAGTGTGGTCGATTAACGCATCCCATCGATGGGTGGAAGCAGCAAAGATAGAAAACATTGTCTCAAGAATTAAAAAAAATGTCACACACGATGCATTTTCAGCAAGAGTGCTGACCGCACAGGGTAAGCGAATTGTCCACACATCCGTAAAAATAGCTTTCTTGTTTTGATCTAAAGCTTTCGTGACTGCAGTAATTCATATTCTTAGCTCTTTCGGTAAATTCACCTGATGATGACCGTTTGTGTTATGGTCGAAACGTCGTGAGAATTTTTATTGTTTTATATATACATTTTATTATTTTATTGTTTCCCTTCAACGTGACTTTACCGAAAGAGCTAAGCTTTCTTGTTCTTTCCCTTAAGAATGGCTTGTACACCTCCATGGATTCCAGCCATAGTGACAGCCTTATCGTAACCTTGAGTGCGGCACATCATTATGTCCAGGCCATCACTTTCCAGTTTTTTTAAGAATGTCAGAACTGAGGTCAGCAGATTTTTTCCCCTTTAAAGGGAAAAACCCGAGAAATACTTTTTCCACTTCAACTTCCTATTGTTGATTTTTGCATATCTGATCACTTCGGGCATCTGGTCAGTATGTGATATGTCAGGTGTGCTGTCGAACATGATCCCAAAGTACTTCGCAGCCTTTATGTCCATGACAAGCGTCTCCTTCACATGATTTGCCAGCGCACTTATAAACTCATTCTCAGTTTTTGGTGCAAGAGACTGATACTTTAAGTTTACATGTGCTCTGCTTTAATCTCGTTAGGTGCTCTTTCAGCACTGGATCACATTTTGAAAGCATCTCAACCATCTCAAGAAAGTTTCCTTTATTCAATGAAGATGCATCTTACTCGTGGCCACGGAATGCCAGATTCTGCTTGGCAAGAAACAATGTGATATCAAGCAATCTGTGCAAGATGTCCCTCCACTTTTCTTCTCCAATTCCATCAAAGCAACAGTTTCGGCGTCAAGGTTTTTGTCCAGCCGCAGTCCTGCTGCCAAAGTTTTTTCACTTTTCAAGGCGACGTCGATGCTCTTCGGATGTCTCGTGGTCATGCACTTTCTGGCTCAAGTTTCCACCGCTTCTGAAACCCAGTCAACAAATGTGGATGTCGTGTCTGTGGCACTTCACGGCAAACAGTCGGCGGCAAAAAACAGTGTCCATTCTCGCTGACGAGTGAGTAAACCATCCAAGATAGCAGAATTTTCTTGCCAATTTGGCATCGCCTTGTAAAGCCACTCTTTTGAAAGCTGGCGCACATCTCTCTTGGCTTGTGCATCTTGCCTTAACCGCAACACTGAAAGGCCCTTCTCTGTTCTGGAAAGAAGCACTTCCTCTTTTGATTACTTCAACCAGAAAATTATCCGGAACTGGTATCTCCCGGAAAGAAACAATCACGTAAAATTAGCAGATCTTTCTCCTTAACGTCACTCATCTCATTTACAGCAACATGGCACATTCAGCACTCTCTTCGCCTTCAAATTCTTCCATTTCCACTCCTTGCTCTTCTGCAGAATGCATGCTAGCATTAGAAGATTCCGCTTTATCAATTGGAGACTGACGAGCCGTGCCTTTTGATGAACCCTGGCTATCATCCGGTCTTTTGATGACATGTTGAAGCTTGGATCCAGCAAGTGTTTTTAGTGATTTTCATTCTTGCCTCTTTTTGCTATCCTTTGCTGGTATCCATTTGGCCTCTTTGATGTATGCACTCCATGTGGCATGATAGAATATCCCAGCACAATAAAAAAAAGACAAATTAGCAATATCTAAAAAGAAAACAATAAGAAAATGTAAATCTACTTGATATGTTATTTCTATCAAATGTAAATTTTTATGCGTCACTATTTTTTAAACCATACTTCAAACTTAAACCCTGAAAATTTCATTAAAATCAGATATATATATTTGCAAGACAGCGATGTTTTAAAGAAAATTTTAAAAAGACTAAAATAATAAACTGAATTTATGATTTAAGTTATATTTCTAAACATATCAAAAACATAGCATTTCCCCCCACGTCATGTTTTAAACTGTCAACTTCTCTATTTAGTTATCAGAGAGTTATATAATCAGTAATTGTTCAACATGTAAGTTTATTATAAATTTTAATCATAAAATAACATGTGATAAATATAGTTGTAAATTGCTTAAATGTAATATTTCTTAGATGAATTATATGAATACTAACAACAAAATTGTTTTGTAAAATCTTTCTACATTGAATTACAACATTAGTTACAACATTATTAGCAACTGAGCGGAAGCCTTTTTAGATTTTTCTCCTTCTTTTCCTTTAATCACTACTTAATTCTCAAAAAAAGTTATTGATATAGGTTCACAAATACTATTTACCACAATATTGTGGCTAAGACACCAAGAAAATTTGACAAAATCAGCGACTATAGAAACACGAGCAGCAACGAAAACAGCAGCGCGTGCTTGTGGCGCGTGCAGACGAAACCACGTGACTCGAAGCGTCATTGTGATTGGGTAACAATGACAGCTCTGAAAGGAGCGCATTAGAAGGTTCAAAAAGTAAATTAGCATCGAGTTCTAGCCTTAGTAGATATGCTGATACAGTAAGCTGGGCTTACGAAAAAATGTTTTTGTTGTTATAACTAACTACAGGGATTTTTTTAAATTGAAAAATAAAAAATAAATTCTGTTGAAACAGCAATTTTGGTGTCACCCACTCTGATGGTGTCACCCGGTGCGGTCCGCACCCCCCAGTGACGCCACTGCCTATATCTACCCACAATTCGCTTAATGCGGTTTGAATTCACTGATATGCGGCTAGTCACTGCCTATATCTACCCACAATTCGCTTAATGCGGTTTTAATTCACTAATATGCGGCTAGTCACCGCCTATATCTACCCACAATTCGCTTAATGCGGTTTTAATTCACTGATATGCGGCTAGTCACTGCCTATATCTACCCATAATTCGCTTAATGCGCTTTTAATTCACTGATATTCGGCTAGTCACTGCCTATATCTACCCATAATTCGATTAATGCGGTTTTAATTCACTGATATGCGGCTAGTCACTGCCTATATCTACCCATAATTCGCTTAATGCGGTTTTAATTCACTGATATGCGGCTAGTCACTGCCTATATCTACCCATAATTCGCTTAATGCGGTTTTAATTCACTGATTTGCGGCTATACGGTCGGACGTGGGACAACACTGCGTTTTTGTTGTAACTGCGTGTGCTACTCGTGCGGTTTCGCTTTGTGCTCCTTTTTTCGGAACGCATCTATTACAACTGCTGCTGCTACCGCATAAAGCGAGGGAAACCTGTCGCTGATGAATCGGAGCATCCTTGCACCGTTTGTAAATATCACAATAACCGCCGACGTCGCTTCAAATCTTGAAGCCATCTCATTTAAAGGATCGGTTTTTTTTTACTGTGTTGTCATCTAGCATTGGCAGCGGCGCGCGATAGACAGCAACGGAACTCAACACGCTCGTCGACAAACACCGTGGCCCCCTTCAAAGGGATAATCGGCGACGTTTCAGGAAATGGCCCTTCTTTATAACACACAGAGAGACCGGAGAGGTTGGAGTGGATGAGTTGGAGACCGCGCTTGTTTACACCGTGGAGACTGAGGTGAATAACGTGCAATTTTTGCCTGGAATCACAATTCATGTTATTGTCTCCAACAATACATTCGAGCAGCAGCAGCAGCAATGTGTGTGTGGTAGCCAATGGATTGTCCCCACTGACCCGTGGCAGCGTTTAAGAACGGGCGATCGAAATACATCAATAAATAAGGAACTATATTACAGAAAGAAGACGATGAACAACACCTCGCCAAATTCAACGCTCATCACCACCCGAGACAAATCCCTGCCGACCCGCTCCCCGTTGACGGGAAACGCGGTTGCAGATATAAACAGAGTGGCCTCGAATGCGGCGTTGCAATGCAGATTGTGTGGGCCAATCAGCTTCCTCGCAAACAACGAGCGGCAGCCCTGACCGCTACATTCGTTGTAACGATGTCCCCCCCCACCCACCCAGCACCTTGCCGAATGCACCCAACCAATGCTCATCCGTTGGTGAATTGAACGGCTTCGAAGGAATATGACCGCCCATCACCACCTAGTGGCAGTTATGGTCATTATTCATAATGTAAGTTTTTTTTTGGGGGGGTGGGGGGTGGGGGGTGTGAGGTTAGATCGTGTAAATATATAAATGTGTCGTTAAAACCCGCCACCACCCGAACACAGCCAACTAGTAAGGGTTGTCACGTAAACAGAACGTGGCCAATTCAGATCTGAGTACTCAGATTGTAAATGTTGTGGCTTGGCTCTCCAACACACCGGTGGTGCTGTACTCGTGACGAATTGGCCACGTTCTGTTTACGTGACAACCCTTACTAGTTGGCTGTGTCGGGTGGTGGCGGGTTTTAACGACACATTTATATATTTACGTGATCTAACGCAAAAAAGTCTGGATTATGGATATTGGTCGCGAAAGCCTA